AAGAGTAAGGTTTTGTTATATATAGGAAATGTGAACTATTTACTTCGTATACTTATATATATTTATATCATTTTAACAATAAGGATAATACGCTAATGCAATCCACATCCATTAATGGTTGAAAGCTTCGTGCAGCTAGGCGCGATTGATGGTAACACTCCTCGTATGGTAATACGTTACCTAACTTCTATGGTAACACCCATGAGGCCCATAACTTCTTGAATCTAACTATTTTTCTCATATGTCCTTGGCAAGCTTAGCCATGTAACCGAAAATAGTTGTATATACGTATATAGGGAGTGTGCATAGAACAATTTCTCCATAAACACCATGAGAATGATGATTGATTACTACTACTAGGGTGCATGTATGTGCTACTAGACTCTACATCTTGAGATTAATTTCTAACTGTTAATACATGTGAGCTGCAATACGACACTCATGTACATTTATGATTAAAAATTACCTACATCTTAGTCACTAACAAAAAAATTAGAAAAAATAAAACATATCACTTTCGAAATTGAAAAAAGGGCAAAAAGGAACCAACAATACCATAAAACTAACACGTCCCATGACTGTCCAACACACTTTGTAATTTTGTAACACCTCCTCCTTTGGAAAAAAACTTGCCTGCACCGAGGATAGGACTGTAGCCCTATCCCCGGTGCAGGTAAGTCTCTCTCCCTCCTTTGGGGTTGGACTGTTGGAGGGGTTAAAAATTAAACTCCCTAGTGGACCCCACCACTCCCCTTAAGGCATAAGCTACCCTTCATCAAAATCTTGACCCAGTTTTTGTCCTCTATCGTAACTCTCAATGTGCTGCACGCTAACATCCTCACCAATCACAGCATACCATCCCAAACAAAATTTTCTTTCACCCCTATTATCCTGCAGGTTTGAGTTGAGCCTAATCGATAAGTACCAAAACACCCCCATTTTATTACTCGATATGACAAAATCACCCTTAACTTCGTGATGTGTCACGCTCTGATTGGTCCAGCCCCCCCGACATCTAAATCTAAACTGAGAGTCACCACCTCGTCCAGTAATTGCGACCTCCTTTCCCCATCCCTTTTTGCCAAATCTTCATTTTCCGAGTTTTTGGATTATTTTTGGTAATTATTAGTTTTTTTTTTTTTCTTCATCTTGAGTCACATATTATAATTATATACGTCAAAATTTGTTTTTGGAATAATTGGAATATTTGTCAATACCTGGCTCCGAAGCCGACGCTCGAATACGGAGCCGAGCCGATGCGAGCGGATGATCCGGAGGCCCTTGATCAACGGCTCATGTTTAACCAGCTTAGGCTTAACCCCTTTGCTGGTGGCGGGAGAAACTTCGTCACCCTCGGCCTCTTCGCCGCTGCTACTCCTACTCCTACTCCTTCTCCCCCCTCCCTCACCACCTCCGCCTCCACGACGTCGTTTCCTCTTCGACAAGCTCGCTGAACTCTGCACGTCGCTGTTCTGCTTCGACGCCACTCCTCCCCTCTTTCCCTCCCGCTTCGACTCACTCACCGATTCCCAAAACTCGTTCGACTCGCCGAGTTGAGTCGCCCCCACCGTTTCACCACCTTTTTTATTGTCTTCCTTCTCATCGTCGATTACTTTACCGTTAACAGAGCAATCGCGATCCGGTTCGGTCCGAGTTCCGGTTCGAACCCGATCTGGTTCGTTTCCGTCCGGTCCGGGCTCCTCTTCCTCCGATTGTTTTGCCACGACGCTGTTTTCTTTCGCTTCGCCTCGTTGGCTCGTTGAATTGGACTCGTTGAAGGATCGGTTCTCCCGCTCGTCGGAGTCGAAGTCTTCGCCGGAGTTTGTTTCACCGGCAACATTCTCTGGTGAAGCCTCTAGCTGATCCTCTCCGCCGCTTTGGAGATCGTTGTTGGGATGAGCCTCCGCCTCCTCCTTCAAGCTCCGCTCCCTCTCCTCCTCCAACCTCTTCACCTTCAACTCCAACGACCTGTAAAACGACACACAGACAGAGTCTCAGATCTCAGACCATTAAAACGACGACCTCTCACACTCAGATCTCTCTCAAGAGACGCGGAATTTACACGATCGAAACGTTGCGACGGTGGACCTCATGGCGGAGCTCATCGACTCGAAGGTTCCGGAGCTCGTCAACCATTTGGCCCAAGCTGTGCGATTGGTTGTCGTTTTTTGATACGAATCGTCGTTTGAGGTCGTCGAACTTGTCTCTACAGTCTTGAGCAGTGAGGAGCGTGGAGGCAAAGGTGGAGGTGCTCCTGGTCTGGACCTCCATGGCGACGGAGTCCCAGCTCTTGGTGCCGTGGCGGTTCACGGCGCACACTAGTAAAAGCTCCTCTAACGTGCCCCATGGGTGCCCGCTCGTTCCGTGTTCCCGGGCCATTCTCCTCTCATTTCATCATTGGTTTTTCAAAATTAGGGTTTTTGGTTTTATAGTTTCAGAAACAAAATCTCAATTTTTTACAAGGATGATGATGATGAATGTACAGATTTATTATGTTTGTTCGTCGCTTTTATATTTCCATCCAAGTGAAATATAAAACTTTTTTTTTTTGGTTTTGTTTTTGGTCTCTTCGTGGTTCGGCTTGACAACGCCAGTAGGCTTTGTAAAGCTCGCATTCCCTCTCGCTCCACCACCACGTTGGGCCTAGACTATACTACCAATTGGGTTCTTATTTACCATAAATTTCTATGTGGAATTCATAATTACCCATTTACTCCCGCCATTATGAGTAAATTTCGTAAATATCTCAAATTATATACTCATGGTGTTAGTAAAATTACAAAAAATTCCCATATTTTTAAATTTATTGGAAAGACAGTATGAAATAATACAATGATTCATATTAAATTGTGGGTCACACACATCATCTAATGTGGACTCGAGATAAACGAATAACAGTCGACAATTTTGGATGATCCAAGATACAAATAAGGTATTAGATACGAGAGTTGTAAGTCTAACCGAATCTTTTGAAGAGACAATCATTTATGGCTCCACATAACTTGTAATATAGGGAAATGAAAGAAGTGCATTGTTTGCCACGACCTTAAACGACTAAACAAAATTAAAAAGGAAAATCTTGTACAATAATAAGGTAACGACAAATTCTATAGATTTTGAAATAACAATCAAAACATGAACAAATTCCCGTTACTCTGGAAGTTCGAAAATCCCAAATATGGAGTAGAGCAAGATTCAAATTAGGGCTACAAAGAAACTTGTATATGAATGAAGCGAAAGTTAACAAAAAAATACCGTCAATGCTAGTTTAGTACAAGAATTGCACCTTAAAACTTCACTCATTCAAGTTTCCGTATCAATTATCATTCAATTTTTTATTTGAGCTATGAGTATGCAAGTCTCTTTGTAAGCAAAATGCTAACGACACTTGCTTAACAGAGTCTCTCTACAAGGACTTGTTGACACCTCATGATTTTGGCTCGAGAATTAATGCTAGGTTTTACTCATTTTACATGATAAATATGTGGTGGCAACAAATCCTTGTAAGAATTATCTTTTTGAACAAGTCTCATTTGCATTTATCCTCTTTGTAATATTTCAACTCATTGTTTCGTAGTAATCAATTTGTGAGCGATCCCGATCATAGCTGCACCAATAAACATTTATCCTCTTTTTAAGTTTCTATTGCATCAACCCAATCGAACCGCACAACCTGATTATAGTGAGTTGGGTTGGTTTGGCCTACAAATGAGAGGGTTTTGGGTTCAAAAAAATCATAAATCGCTATTTACAAGTTAGGTTACAGGTTGTAACTAAAATTTTAAAATAGGCTTAATTTTGAGTTAACCTGACCGAACCTCCCAACTTGATCACAAAAAGTTGGTTCTAATAATGAGCGGATCTTGGGTCCAATAAATCATAAACTGCTATATATTGGGTTGGATTACGAGTTAGAACGAAAACCGACCCAACCCAACTCATATCCACTCCTATTATATACACCATATTTCTCTTTGTCTACCAAACTAAGTAAAATGTTAATTACACTCCTTTTAAAGTAAAATAAATTTATATTTAAAGATGGAATATATAGCTTAAGGGTAATATAATAACTAAAATCTCAATCTTTGCTCACCATCTTTTTCTGTCTCACATCTTCCTTTTTTTTTTGCTTTAGTTGTTTATTGCAATAACTTCTTGTGTTGCATGAGTAACATGTATAAGACTTGGTTGTAATTATGTGTATGTAGTCATTTCAAATATATTACATTGAATTTAGTAATTTCAAATCCAAAATAGTCCACTATTGCCAAATCATAATTTATATATTAATTTATTTAATAAATGTGTTATATAATTAGTAATTCAAAAAATTTAGTAATTTATGGATACAAACATCACACATGTAGCGGAAGAAGACATAAGACATAATTTTAAATTGTTTTTAATCTTGTTCTAAGTTAAAATGATTTCCCACTCCCATTTTATCCACTTAAGCTCCCTTTTGTTTTTTTTAAAATATTTTTTACTATAACATATAAGAGAGTGTAAGTGAACAAAAGAATAGTGGGAAAATATAATTTCCAACAAAATGAGTGTAAGTAGACAAAAGATAAGTGAAAAAATCAGCTCTTTATTTTAAACCAAAGCAAGGTTTCTTTTTTATATACGAGATCTCTCCACACGTGCTAGGCATGTGTTGGAAGTTACCACACACAACAATTTAAACAAATATTTGAAAATAAAAAAAAAAGAAATTTTGGGAGAGAGAAATTTCATGATAAATAAAATGTTTATTTACCGTATTACTTGTAACTTCTAAGTTTATTATGAAAATGGTTTAATACTAAAATGACAAAATTGACATTTCGTCCATACAATACAAGTTAAAAGGAGAATTAATATGTAGAGGGAAAAAATTATATAAGTGAAATAAGTGAAATAAATTTAAAGAAAACCTCAAAGTTTTTAAATAAGAAAACTATTATGTTTAGCTAATTTTATTTTAAGTTTTTCATTTGATATATCTGAACTGCATTTTATAAGCGAAGAGAAAAAATTCCCTGCCCAAAAGAAACGCGGAAGTCGAATTTTAACCGAACTAATTTGCGTCGAGCGGGAAATGCACCGCGCTCTCCAAACCGTGGAAATTTTGGATATTTAAAAGAACTCAAACTTAATTTCCAGCTCTGCACTTCCTTCTCGAATCTTCATAAATTCAAAACTCTCGAATCTGAGTTTTGAATTTGAATTTAGGGTTTCTCAGTGCTTCGAAATTAAGTCGCTTCTCCAAGAATTCTGGTACGATGCCCAAGTCTGCGAAACGCCAACGGACCCGAAGCCAAAGCCGGGACGTTGACGACGCCGAGCAACTCAGAGCCGTGAAGCGCGAGAGGGTCAACGCCAACGCCGGCCGAGTTGAAAATGAGTCGGATTTCCCGAGTGAGCAAGACTCCGTTCAACGGCGAACCCTCCGGTCCGACTACCTCGCCGTCAAGAACCTCATCAGTGGTATGCATTTCTACTTATCGGAAATATGTGTTGTTAAAAAATAGAAGAGTTTTGCATTTCCAATTGTTTTAGTTTAAATTATAATTTTTTCCTTTTGTTGCAGAGAAAAGAGATGATTTAATGTGTCCGGAGTCGGAGAGGTTCTGTCTAATCATCAATAAAGTTGAGAAATTGCACGAGCAAGGTATCCCCAATCACTTTTTGATGAAATCGTCTGTGTTTTATTCCTAAGAATTCATCAACTTTGATCTTGAATATTTAAAGCGTTTATGTTATTTATTTATTTTTTTTTCCTTTCGTTGTGTTGTTGCTTAATGAGAAGACTAAGTATTTGTGAAGAAGAATGAAATTTTCGTATTTCATGAGCTCGTATGTTGATTTTGAATATAAATTTGCAATGCCCATTTGGCAATTTTCAGTTCAGAAGCCAAGGGAACAAGTAGCAGATGCAGAGGCGCTGCTGGACATCACTAACACACTGTGGACGTCTGTTAAGTCACAGTCCAGTGCAGGAATTAGCCCATCAGACTTTGTTACTTGTGTGCTTAATAATTTTAAGCAATTAAATAGTTCATTAGCCAGCCAAGAGGATGCGCCTGTCTCAATTAAGTGGAAGGATATTGGACTTGCTGTTTCACCCATTTTCAAGAGGGCTCATGGGTGTTGTACCATGTGAGTTCTTCTATGATTATGTTATGTGTGACATTGCCTTGGTTCTGTACTAACTCATGGTTCTGCTATTTTTTCTTAAGGCTTGGACCCATGAATACCGAGTTGAAACAAAGGAAGGCTGTGGTTCGCAGCAAACATGCAAAGCCAACCACAACTGATCGACCTGATGAGGTAAAGTTGATATTATTGGCTGTATTCTGTAGAAATCATACTCCTTTGTTTTAGAAGCATTTCCTACAATTTGTACGAACTTTGCTGATGATATGTTCACGTTTGTGGTTTATATGCAACAGATAGATGATACTCAGGGAGAAGAAAAAACTGATACTGACAAGAACATGTCAACAATGTTTGACATTCTTAGAAGGAACAAACGGGTTAGACTTGAAGGCTTGATACTAAATAGGAAGTCTTTTGCACAGACAGTGGAGAACTTATTTGCTCTGTCATTCTTAGTCAAAGATGGCCGGGCTGAAATAACTGTGGATGCAAATGGTTCTCATCTTGTTTGTAAGTAGATTATAAAAGCATACAAATTGATTATATTTTGTGTTTTAGCAATCTATGCTTTTGGCTAAGTCATTATTTCTCTTTTTCAGCACCTAGGAATGCTCCTGCTGCCAATTTAGTGGCATCACGTGAGGTGGTTTATGACCATTTTGTGTTCCGATTTGATTTCAAGGACTGGAAGGTATAGTAACTAGCCATTACTTCAGGTTTAATGTTTTATTTAATATGTCTTGCACCATAAGTTTCATCACAGAAGCATGTTCTTGCATTATCCAGGAACTGGAAATAAGCCCATCTCAGTGTCAAAACTGCCAAATTTGTAGAATTCATTTGGTATTTTGTTAAAACAAACTGTTTGAGAAACTCTAAACATAAGACACGACTGCATATACTGAGTTGAATTTGTTCTTCTTGTCAAATTATATTGATCTTTATTTTCTCTTACGGTCATATAAAAAGAAAGTTGGCATCCTAGTCTTTATGTGCATCACTCTCCCACCGCATCCATTTCATGCTTGATTGTCTGCCCTTTTGTGAATAATTTTTTTGTTGCTTTGCAGTTAATGAAGGATATGTTGCCTGTTGGCGAGGAGCTGATGCCACATAGAAGCCCCCCAAACTCCTTACCTGCATCTCAAGAGGAACCAGCAGCATACAGTTCCCAAACAGCCTTACCCACAACCCCGATTCGAAAACTTTCCAGAAATCGTGGCCGGCTTGTGCAGGAAGAATCAGTTGTAGAAGAATCTCCTGAAAATGATGATGCTGCTGGAACCAATGTCGTTCGCAGGAGTAAGCGCAAGCTTTGATGAAGAGAGACTAGCTAGATAACTGCCATTTATGCTCTATGGTTCGGTAACTTCAGTTACCTGCTCCATGTCTTTTTGAGTCCTATAGTGTAAATTGGATTAGGAAGATTGCCTTGTGCTTAGAAGTCTGTTTTGCATTAGGTTGGCTTTTGATGTTTTGACCCTTTTGGAGTTCGTTGACTTGTGCCACTAGCGTTCTACTCATTGTAAGCGTACCCTCTACTGGACTCGGATCGGATTGTAAAAATGTGCAGGCTTCATGTATAATATGTTCCTTGTGACATTAGAGAAAGAAAAATGTAACTTTTGTAACATTATTGTTTCAACCATCCTTATTCGGAATTTATTTTTTTATTTTTGTGATAACACAAATGAATATCAAAGGCAGATTGAATTTGATTATTTATACACGTCCTAACAAGAATAAACCCATCATCAACCACAAAATCTTTAAGTTGATTTAAGCATTTCAAATAAAGGTTCTTGAAAACTGTTACAGTCCCTAGGGTAAAATTTCTCTCATGCCAAAATGGGGCTGCCGGACAAGACACCTGAGGGTTGGGGGAGGGCACAAACTAACGGCATTAGTTGTCTACAGTACAACTCATCACTTTTGGATTATCATTCAGCCAGCCTGCCTGCCTGCTGCCTCTAACTATCATCCTCAGTGCTGAGCCTTTGGAATATCGAGTTTCTCGAAAATTGGACTGTCAACTCCCACACCCATTGCATTCAAACCATTGTCCACATATATAACACCGCCAGTAATGGCAGAGGCCAAAGGTGATGCCAAGAACGCAGCAGTGTTCCCTACCTCCTCTGTTTAATGAGATTTGTGACTTCAGTATCTCTAACAGAAAAAGGGAAGAGTAAAATAAAATTGAAGAGGAGACTGGTAAATTACCTGCAGACAGTTCTTTTTGTAGAGGTGCATTGGCTGATGAATAGTCAATCATCATATCAATAAATCCTATTGCTTTTGCAGCACGGCTTCTCAGTGGACCTGAGGATCAAAAAACAGAAGTTGAGGTAATACTAGCCAAAAGAAAAACCTCCAGGAAGCTTAACACCTATGTAATTCAATAATTTTTTTAACGAAGCTCTAATCATGGTTGAGAGCAAAAAGATCTTCCAGATATCACCAATATAAATGACCACAATAGTCCACCCATGAGGATTCCACTATTAATTTAATCCATAAGATATAGGATATACGGTACCAGCAGATATTGTGTTGACTCTAATTCCCTTTCTTCTCCCAGCTTCAAAAGCAAGAACCTGAATAATGCCAAAATTCATGTCAACGCAAGCTTGGAAGGAATGGAAACCAGGATAAATTACATGTACAAGTGCATGGAAGAAAAACTCACTCGAGTGTCACTCTCGAGAGCAGCTTTTGCAGAGCTCATACCTCCACCATATCTGCAAAGGATAATTCAAGAATTCATCATCATGAAAAATTAGCAAAAGTAACTCCATACACAAATGTGAAGCAGACAATGCATAGAAAAGATACCCAGGAATGATCCTCTCGGAAGCAATATAGGTAAGAGAAATTGATGAACCACCTGTAACCACAACATTCTAATTCAAATTAAAGATAACACAAACAGAAGAAAACAATACTGGATAACTCAATGTAGAAGCTTGCCTGGATTAATTATTGGGAGGAAATGCTTGAGTAGAGAAACATAGGAATAACTCGATGCTGATAGAGCAGCGAGATATCCCTTTCTGGATGTCTCCAGCAGAGGTTTAACTACCTATTAAAGAGAAAAATTAATATGTGCCAAGAAAATAGAGGATAGAAATTCCATTATGAGTATTAATGTACCTCTGGTCCATTTGCAAGTGAGTGCACAAGAATGTCAATGCTGCCAAAATCACTCTTGACAGATTCAGCAGCTTCCTGCAAAACATAAAATCAAGATTCAATAAAAAAACATATGTTGTTTGAAGAATTATGTTATCTGTATATTTAAAACCCAACTTAAGCAAAATCTGAAACCCTTCATCTAGATCATCAAATTGGAATGTTGTCAAACGAGTCTCAATAGCCATTGAGGGGTGAGATGCTGAATATCAGACAACATATGATATTTAAAATTCAACATTTTGGAAAGGCAAGAGTAGCAACAAGGAAATTCCTTACAGCATAAACAAAAGATAAAATTCATGACCAGTAGAATGCAAGACTTAAACTACAATGAAAGAGGAACTTAGCCAAACTGTTTCTAAAGTTGGTGGCTGAATGTCATGGATCCTCATTCAGTTCCATTTTATTAGGAAGTGATCTCCAGGGAAAGTACAAAAAGACCTGTTACTTTGGCACTGAAATTATGTTCTAATTTGTTGTCTGTCCATGTTTAACCTTAAAACAAGTATAATGCTCCAACATACAGTCTAAAGTTTTTCTAGAAAAACTTAAAAACAAATACTAAGGCAGTTTAATTCATACCTGGACAGTCCATTTACTGGATCCTGCATAGCGCTTATTTGTTTTTATCTACATGAAGGAACACCAAAACACATTAAGTATATTTGACCATTTTCATCTTTTAATAATATAAATAATATATTGCTCCCTTACATCATCAGGAACATCCTCAGGGTTGTCAAAAACAGCATCTAGGGGATATATCTTGGTAATCTCCATTAAAGAACCATCTGGTAACCTGAAACATCAAATGTCTTGTCAGAAACTATTCATCAAATTTACCGGCTAACACTATTCAAAACCAGATCTAACATCTTACACGCGTGACTCATCAAACTTTCCACGTCGCAGGCTGGACTCAAAAATGTTCAGAGCCTGCATATAAGCTCTTCATAGTCAGTAACTACATCATTATCAAAAATTAAGAAAGAGAAAAGGAATTTATGAAATCCTGGAGATCAGGCCAATCAACTTACAGGCACCCATGTGCCCACAAGAATTTCAGCACCTGCAGCAGCTAGAGATTTTGCAATTGCCCAACCATATCCATTATCATCAGCTACACCAGCGATAAATGCCCTCTTACCTGCACAAAGAATATCCATATTTAGTTGGAAAGGTATAGTGCTCATCAAAAGGCAGGTACCTAATTGCAATATGGACAACAACTTGGGCACATATACAGTATTCCAGATCAGTAAAAATCTAAAAGCTAACATTTGAAGGAAATATTCTGCACATACAGCATCACCAGTTAAAATTTACTGTATTTGATCAGATAAAACATCATCGTGAGAACAATGCTGTTCCTCCAAGCACATTCTCTATAGCTACAGTCAGCCTTCCCAAGTGTGTACATCCAAAACAAGGAGAATTATGTAAATAGAAAACCGAAAGCTGATAAGTACAAACTTTCAGCTTTCTTTATTGCAATACAAAGATCCATGATAGGAAAACAAATCATTACCACAAAATATGACATTAAAGTGAATTAAAAGACAGAAATCACCAATATGAGCTATCTTTAACAAGAAAAGAAGAGGATAATGAAAAAGCAGCAACAAGTCCATTACATTAAAGAGGAAGGAATGAAGATAAAACATTTGTTCAATACGAGTGAGGGAGCAGAGAGGTAAAAAGAAAATTAACCTTTCAAATCAATTGGCAACCCTGAGGCAGGCTTGTTTTCACTAGCTCCAGCCATCGCCTTTGTAACAAACTTATCCATTTTTAGAGATGATGATGTAAAGCTCCGGTGGAAAGGTTGTGCAGATGCTATATGGCATGCACTCGAAAGCTTAGTCCATGAAGCCAGCTTAAAATTACCATTAAGCATTGCAGCACTTGACACAAAAGCTCTACGAGAAGAGGAAATGCAGGGTCTGGAAGTTGCCATTTGCAGGCTGGAAGCAGCAGTTGTTGCCATATTCAATAAATGGAATCTCACTAAGGAGGACAAAGATCTACATAATGCACTAAATCAGAATTAATATTCACAAAGCCATGAAGGAAAACTATAAATAGAATCTTGAAAACAGAATTCTTAACAATAATAAAAAAGTATTTTTTTTCCTGTTTTAAATCAAATGACTTCCATTGTTCAACTATTACTTGCACTCAGTGTTTTTAAAGACATGCCTTCGCGCGCGTCGGAGCGAGGCGGTCAGCTGTTTCGCGAGTTGCACGTTTAGCGCGGGGAAGGCGTAAGGAGCGTTGCAAGGCGTGGCCAGGCGAGCCAGATCTGGACACTTCTAAACCGGAAGAAATTTTGCGAGTCTGCAAATTGGCTGCGACTCTGCGAGGAAGACGACTCACGCGTTTGTTTTTTAGGTTTATTGTTATGAAACGACGTCGTTCGATTGCGTTTAAAAAAAAATCCTAACTGAAACGACGTCGTTTCACTTGGAATGTTTTTAAAAAATACACCCGCAAGTTTCTGTTGTTTTTTTCTTTACCTTAATTGTAATAAGGCAAGAAGAATTAATATCATTCTTGCCTTTTCCAAATCCAGCCGGCTGTAGCTTATTCTACTTACCTTCTTGTTTTTGTGTTTTCTAAATTAATATATTAACACATAGACTTATATTTTATATATATATAGGGTAATACTAGGGAGATCATCTATTTGTACCATATTTGTATACCAACTGATGTGGCTGTTGAGTTGTCTATGCCACATCATTAAATGAGTTTTTAATATTTTTATTTTTATTTTTTTTACCTTTTACTTTAGAGCATCTCCAAGGGAGATGTCAAATACTAAACATCAAATTTAAATTTGATGGCTGATGTGGCAATTTGATATTTACAAAGTTTTACACTCCACCCGATATGTCAAATAAATAATTATTGTAACAGTCAACTCATTAAAGATAAAGAAGAAAAAAAATAAAAAAGGAAAATTATAAATGAAAGTAATAGCCGGCTGTCTTTAAAAATAATAAAATATTCATTTGACATCTTGCTTTTGGGATGTCAAAAATAACAGCTGAACCTCCAACCTTCATTCCACATCAGCTTTGACAATTCGGTTGGAGTGATGTGAGATGTTATTTCTAGCTGTTAAATGTCTATGTGGTGCTTTTGACATATCGGTTGGAGATGCTCTTACAAACTCATTATAATCATATTAAAATCATTAAAAATTTTATAAAAAAACTCCGATCTCTTCTCCTACCTCCTACCCAGCTAACTCTCTCTCCCTACTCAACCCCACCTTTCAGCCACCCCTCTCCCATCGCCCATCCTTCCCTCAACCATACACCAGTCATTGAGTTTGTCAGATTCTCATTATAGGTCCCAGATCTTGAAATGGGCATCTTTGATTGGATATTGTTAATTTATTTTTGCCATTATTTCACACATTCCTAGAAATCA